CTTGGAGCGGCTGGTGGTTTCAAACTGCTGACCTGAGCCCAGTGCAACACCACCACCACTTGGGCGTTACCAATGGGCATGTGGGGAGCGTTTAAAATCCGCCAGTGCACTGAGCTGCTCTGTAATGGGCCTCAGCTGAGACCTGGATAGTGACTTTATGGTTCCCCAAAGACTCAAGTCCGAGGCCAGGGTGCAGCATGAAGTAGAAAGAAGCCATGCACCAAGGCTCCAGCTTAGAGTCCCACCATAGAAGGAGTCAGGGGTGGGCCTAAGCCTGTTCTGGTCCAAATGTGCTTGGGAGATTTGAGAAAAAATATGTGGGATAAGCACCTGTAAGTTGGGAGCTTTCTACTCTCGTCAAGGGTCCGTCCCAGAAACCCACAGGGGCAGTTCTGCCCTGTCTTGAAGGCTCACTGAGGCGGAATTGACCCAGTGGCAGTGAGTGAGACATTAGGAGGCTCAGAGCTAACTAGACTGGAAGTCTGGGTACAGGGAGAGCTCCCTGTGCACAGAGAACATGGGTTCATCTGGAAGAGGAAGTTCGTGCATAATCTTGACCTGGCTGGGAAAGTGACGACTATGCCTGCCACTGTCAAGTCTTCCATGCTGAAATCGAGGAGGACTTGAAGCATTTGCTGATGAAACTCAAGGATTGTAGCCTCCAGTATGGACTGCAACTCAGTACAAAGAAAACCCAAATCCTCTCAACTGGATCAGTCGGTAACATCATGATAAATGGAGAAAAAGATTGAAGTTGTCGAGGATTTCGTCTTGCTTGGCTCCGCGATCGCTGCCCCATGGAAGAGGCAGTCAAGAAATGAAAAGACGGATTCCAAAGATGTCGCTTTGAGGACCACAGTGGACCGAACCCGAGCCCCATCGTATTTCCAGTCACCTCGTACGTATGTGAAAGTGGGGCCGTGCATAGTGAAAATGGCAAAGGAACCGATGCATTTGAATTAGGGTGTGAAAATTAGTGACGGTACCATGGATTCCCAGGAGAACAAACAAATCGGTGTTGGAAGAAGTATATGCTCCTTGGAAACCAAGATGGTGGACTTCATCGCATGTCCCTTGGACGTGCTGTCCGAAGAGGCCAGTCCCTGGAAAGGGACACCAGGCTCCTCAGTGCGGTGGATTGACCCCGGGTCTCTGACGGGCCCAAACATAACAACCATGGTGAGGCTGGCAGAGGACCAGCCTTCTGCCCACAGGGTTGGATTCACCGGAATAGCCCCGAACGACATCTCAAGGCTGTGGTTGCCCTCCTTTGAGGGGCTACCACGTGTGGCAAACGGGGAGCTGTTGCCCTCCAGCGATCCTGATTCATGAGAACCCCACCATTGGCCAATTCTTTGGGAAGTGATTATCAGGCCTGTCCTCTGAGGCGCCGCTGAGTGAACTCAAACCAGGAGCCTTGTGGCTACTCAGTGAGCATGCCCGTCTCCCCGGCCACCCACAGAGCCCTCCAGAGGTCCTCAGCTGGGTTGGAGGCCAAAGTCACATCAAATTCCAATGAGTCAGGCTGATCCGCACAACTCCCTAGAGGAGTAATCAATATGGAAATGACCACCCAGGCCACCTCCATGGCCACCACAGTCTTAGTCAAATGAAATGCATAATAACACAGAAAAGGGAAATGTCAAAGAAAAGCACGGATGACACCCAGAGCCCTGCCATCCAGAAAGGACCTCTAAAAAAGTCCCTCCTGGACAGGCCTTGAGAGGAAATAAGCATTGGATGTACAGCTCCCTAACTTGATAGGAAGTGAGCATTTGATAGACACCCTCCTCGCTGTGGGCCTGTGTGACCCTGTGCCTGGCCTCTCTTGCCACATCAATAAATATATAGGCCTGCGTCCATTGTAAAGGCTGAATAGTATTTCACTGTACTGTGGAGCCAATTTTTAAATCCCTCTTTGTTGCTGCATATTTAGGTCATTTCTGATTCAAAGCTATTAAGAGTGAGATAGGCGTCGTGCACATGTGCCTTTCAGATAGGCCTGCTGCCGCCGC